TTTAGGACCTATCTCAAAAATTACCCTAAAATCGGGGAAAATTTTTATACCAGGTAATACTTTGTGTTGAGACACATCATCTCTCCATAGTAGTCGACTGGCTGTGGGGTTGCCAAGTGTCCTAAAACTACATTTAAAAATATCCCAATTTTTCTCCGAAAAGCAAAACTCCCCTATCTCTGCCGCCATCTTGGATTTCTAAAATTTCATAATTTTCCCTAGAGGCCGAGTCCTTCGGCTATCCGACGCCGTACAGTGCGTTGAGCTAGCATACTCGTAGGTACCCTATCAATTTCAGTTTTTGAAGCTAGACCTCAATTTCAAAATTTGTCCGATGATGTATGGGTGTTGCCAGCAAATTCTGAAGAAATCCACCTAAAACCCTTCAGGGGACGATTTGTAGTAGACCAAAACGAGTTCTTCATTTAAAATGTCAAAAAAAAAATTTCCCACTTTATGGGACTTTTTTCCAAAATTAACCCAAAATCGGGGAAAAATTTTAGACCTGGCAAATCTTCTTACTCAGACTTACCCATGTCAGTAGGTGGCGTTTAGCTGCAGGGTTGCCATGTGCAGCAAAAACTCGATTGAAAATATCCCAAATTTTTTCCAAAAACTAAATCTCCCATAGCTTGGTCGCCATCTTGGATTTTTGAAATTTCATAATTTTCCCTAGAGGCCGGGTCTTTCAGCCTCCCAATGCCCTATAATAGGGATCGGTAGCTCCCCCGCAAGTACCCTAGGAATTTCAGTTTTTGGAGAGACACCCCAATTTCTATTTTGGTCAAACCATGTATGGGTGTTGCCAGCAAATTCCAACAAAACCCACCTAAAACCCTTTAGGGGATGTTTCTCGATAGGCCTTGATGCCTCTTTTGTCAAAAATGCCGAAAAAATTTTTTCCCACTTTTTGGGACATTTCTCCCAAATTACCCTAAATTCGGAAATTCTTTTTATCGCTGGCAATACTTCTTACCGAGACCCATCATCGCCCCATAGAAGCCGACTCGCTGCGGGGTTGCCCTGTACCTAAAAAATGATTTTGAAAATAATCCGGATTTTTAGGACCAAATTCACACGCCCCCAACTCGTCGGCCATCTTGGATTTTCGAAATTTCATAATTTTCCCTAGAGGTCGGGTCCTTCGAGTTTCCTATGCCCTACAACCGGTGTCGCCAGCACCCCCGCAACTACCCTGGGAATTTCGGTTTTTGAAACCCTAGAAAATTTTCAACCAGTTTTTGGCAATTTTTTCGCCGCCATCTTGGATTTTAATTTTTTGTTTTTACGCCATATTCTGGGTCCCGCCGAGACGTGCCAAATCACTCTTTGAACGGAATCGATCCGAGCGAAACTGTAAAAGTTAGCCGCCATCTTTGTCCGCCATCTTGGATTTTCCCAAATTTCGGAATTTTCTCGTGGTCACCCTAGCCAAAGGAACATTTCCCCCATACATCGTCTCGACCCCCGGACGCTCCTTCTGGGAGAACAACTATGTCAATCAGTGAGTGAGTCACCGTAATGCAGCTTTATATATTATAGACTAGAGGGTGCGTGTGTGCGCGGGCCTCAAGAGGCCCGCGAGGCGTTGTCCTTGATTTTTTTTGTGAAGACAGTTTTCTTTTCGAGTAGACTTGGTTGGCAAGTAGAGTTGTCTGTTTTGATACAATTAGGTGACTTCCTATTGTAACAGTGAATTTTTTTTTCACATGTACCATCCTGTGGTGAAACTTTGTATTTGGTCACAATACAAAACCTAACCTAACCTACCTCTTTGTTTACTATATTATTCTGTGGCTTTAATTTTTATTGCAATGGTCACAATACAAAACCTCACATTACCTACCTTTCTGTATTAGTATACAGAAATGTATGCTTAGTGTTGCCACCTAATTTTACAAAAAAATCGCATGAAACTATTAAGATGAGATTTATTATAGATCCCCGTCACTCTTATGTTAGAATGTCGAAAAAAAAAATTCCCACATTTTGGGTTTGCAAAATTACCTAAAAATCGGGGAAAATTTGTAGCCTAGATAATATTTCAAACCGAAATCTACCATGGCTCAATAAAGGCCGACTCGCTGCAGGGAAGCCAGGTACCCCAAAATGTATTCCTAAATTTATCATCAGAGATAAAATACTGATTTTTTTTGTGAAGACGGTTTTCTTTTCGAATAGACTTCTGTTTTGATACGATTAGGTGACTTCCTATTGTAACAGTGAATTTTTATTTCACGTGTACCATCCTGTGGCGAAACTTTGTATTGTAATGGTCACAATACAAAACCTAACCTAACCTACCTTTCTGTATACTATATTAGTCTGGGGTCAAAGTTTTTAATGTAGAGATCATAATACGAAACCATACCACAAAGGTTAATTCCTATTGTAAGAGTGAAAAAACGAAACTATTCTTCTATTCTATTCTATTCTATTATAATTGGCCATTATATCAGTACCTACCCGAATACGAAATACAAAATCATACCGAACCCTAGTTTCTGTATAATATATTAGTATGATGTCGCTATTTTAATTTCTAGTTCTATTTTATTAATGTAATTTTATTATCATAAAAATGAACCTAACCTTACCAATTAAAATATTTAAAAAAAATCCATTTTAACGACCTGGCCCTGAAAATACCCCAAAATCGGGGAAAGATTTTAGCGCTGGCAATAATAAGATTCAATGCCATCCCATAAATGCGGACTCGCTGCATGGTTACCATATACCAAAATAAAATTCTCCCAAATTTTGTTCAAAGTCAACCTCGGCGGTCATCTTGGATTTTTCCATTTTGATCTTTTGACATAGACGTGTGTCTATGTTAAGTCAAATGGAAATGTAAAAGCTTAACAATAGTAGTAGTGGTATATTTTATCCATTTTATCCACAAGTGGATAGGCAAAGGTACGAGACCATACAGCCTAACCTTCAGTAGTATTTCCATGAGATTCAAAAAGCTAAACATAATAAGAGCACAGACTCTATGTATGTGGAAAGAAATATAAGTATATGTATTTTTTTTTCTTTGCAATTATTTATTTTAAATGTGTTTTATAAATATTTCTATAATCCTCCATCATCCATTTTAAAATACGGCACTAACATATAAACTTATGCTACTTTGTTTCTCTGCCTTAGTGCTTCTTTACATAAATACACTTTTGCCTGTTTACTTATCAAATTTTAAAACAAAGTCAATGCGCAGTCAGTTCCATGTCAATCGATTGTCATTCTTTCAATCATTCTATAATGAAGAATGTTAATAGGTATGCCAATTCGGTTGAAAGTTTGGTATAGTAAAGTTTGTATGTATACAAATATATTAGTTTTTGTTTTAGTCAAAAATACCTGTTAGTTTTGATTTTATAGGCATTTAAACTTCGATAAATTTCGAGTCCCGCTAACAGTTACGTGACATTTGACGTCATTTTACAACGGTCCACTCCGCTTAGTAGCGAGTTGCCGGTAGGTCAGTGCCTAAGGAGTTCGTGCAGTATTTTGTTTTGTTTTCATCCGCGCATTACGTTAATATTCTATTAATGAAAAGGATGAAGGAATCGAAAAAGGGCAATCGGATGATCTGCCTAAAATGGATGCACTAATAGTTGTCCATTATTTATCAACAAATAGTGATTTCGTTGCCGCTGAAATACGAGGAATAAAAATGCAAAGGTAAGTTAACTTTTCTTGCTATTTAGAAAATAATTTATCTGTTAAAGTAAAGTAAAGTAAAGTATATGTCTGTCTTAAAGTGTTTTGTTAAAAAAAATACCCGACTGATGTCGTATTGCAAGTATTGCAACTCAAATAGGCAGAAAGGTTTGGTACCTTTTAAGTCTTACGTTATAGACAACAAATGTGTGTTAGAGTTTTATGTCTATAGGTGCGTATGTCCATATCTGAATATAGGTACCTCTTTTAATAAATTTAACTAAACACATATTGATTTATTGCAAATGTAGTGGGTTGAACAGATGTACTAAACCTTTTTAATTTTGATTTGTCTTATTAATAGGCCGTTTTATTTATTTTTATTTGTAACTTATTCCAGGCCGGCAAGAGACAGCTTTGGTGATGATGCTAACGTTTGCATACAAGTAAAAAGAGCAAGTGATGTTTGTACGATCAAATGTAGAATCACGCGCGAACACCGCGTACGTAACACACGTTATCGTTGCCGTTTAGAATGTAATGAAAAGGACCAAGAAGTTTTAAACGTAACTTGCGAAGATTGTGCCGCCAACAGAGGCTGTAAACGTACTATAGCATTTTTAATGTGGCTACATTGTCAAAGAGAGAACACAACGACTGTTATCAAATTGTTACTGTTATGTTGGATTTTTTTGTGGTTATAATAAAAAAATAACTATTGCTTTGTTGGTTGTATTTGTACATTTTGGCACAACACATGATTTATAATTTCTAATGAAACATAAGACGATTCCGTGCTGAGAGCGCGAGCGGACAGAGCGACTGTTGTACTATGACGTCACACCGTCACATGAGTCCGCATCGCACGTTTCCTTCTATAAATCAGAAACTAATTGACGTATTGAAGTAATTCTTTCACTTATATTTTTTATTAATGACAAAGAATATGGAGAGCTAATATTCAAAATTAGTTAACATTCTACATTCCAATGTTTTAACTTTTACATTCACTACTGAAAACAATGGCTGTATGGGTTGTAAGTCCTTTTGCCTTTCCCTGAAAAGCGAAAAACCGATCCTAAAGAAAAAAAAATTTGAATTACACTTTACTGTACTTTTTTAATTGCATAGTTTGAAATTCGTTATATTTTAATTTAATTACAATTCAAGTTTCTCTCAGTTAGTAGTGACTTTATTTTAAATACAGTTTATAAAATTACCGTTAACGACTATAAGGAATTGGAAGGTGTTATTTGTTGTACAAACTCCGCCCACGCCTTTGATTTGTATTTAAACCGTGTTATATACATATTGTTGTTAAATCTAACTACAAGAAAATGAATGTTTATGACTACAATTCATCTGTACACTCATCGGTGGCATCGTCACAACGTAGCACTTTTGTTGATATAAATGAAATAAAAAAATATATTAAGGACCTATTGAAATCTAGAATTTTCTTAGGTCGATATATAGAGAGAAGATTGGTAGACCAGCGGATAGGCTATCGGGACATTGTCTTAGTAAATGCTGCAGAATCCGAGTTAAAAAGAGACTTGTTAGAAGGACTTCAAAAGTTACGTCTTGTTTGTGGGTCTCACTGGATTGGCATTACAGACACAGAAGGACAGGGTTCGCCTGGAATTCATATATGGACGGAAATAGAGAACCAACCATTTGGACCTTTTTGGTTTCAAATTAAAACCATAAAATTTAGAGAATACGAAGTTATTGTTGTACTTAAGTGTATTAGGCATATAACTGATGCCTTTATGGAGTTAGAGCCCATATTAGCTGGTGGTATCAAGAAACGGAAACAAGAAAATAACTTAAATACTTCTGACAATATTTCATTGTGTGAATCTTATAAAGAAACTGTTGATGATTTGAAAAGTGCTCTTTCTATAACCAATGTTAAAGAATTTTTTATATTATTGTTTGCATTTATAATTACCATATTTACTGGGATTACAGTATTTGTTAACTTTCTTAGTAATTTTATGTTAGCACTAATAAGGGAAATCTCTATTTTAATTCAAAGTTTAACACCTATGTTTTTAGGTGTATTAAATTTTTTTAGTAATATAGTGAGGTTGCGTGTGAGTGTGAAGGTGCGAGTGGGATGAGCATTGCAATAATTTAATTTTTTAAATTTATTTTTACACTTTTTTGTAGCAGTTAATTAATATAAAAATATGTATATACAATGATGAGTACAAAAGATGGCCTTATCGCTAAACAATCTAATAATATGTAATGTAATGTAAATTTAACTCTATTTTTTTTGTGTATAATTCTTTATTGTTCTGTACTCTTAATGTTTCCATTGTTGATCTTCCAATAATCTCATCAGGTACATCATTATGTAGTAAACAAAAATATTATTAAAATACTTAAAATTGTATTATATAGACATGTTTTTGGGTGTTGATTAGATTGGTTTTTTTTCTATATTTTTCAATAATAATGAAGCAGGAATAGGTACTTTATTGTATCAAAAATAAATTAAATTAAATAGTAGATAATAGTATACCACTCTATTAAAAAGTAATGATTTTAAATTATAATGTAATGTTTTATACTTCACATCTACTTATAATGAGGCAATGAAGACATATCTACAATATACATGAGAATGTTGGCTATTTCTCCAAGAATAAAGTGTTAATTAAATTTTAAAATTATATTCCATAATGTTTTTATAGTAAGAAGTTATGATGAATGACTAATGTTTAGCATTTATAATGCTTGGATTACAGAATTCATATTTGTAGACTGGAAATAACAGGATATGATGAAACATATATTTTATATAATTACCACCATTGTATATATCATATTCTGACAAATAAATATATTATTATTATAGTCTCATTATTATTATTAAAAATATGTTTATAATAAATTCTAATATGTTATACAAAATTTGTATATTAAAGTAAATTTATATATATATCAATAGTTTGTGGTAGTTAAATTAATTTCTAATATTAGTATTTATAAATATACCATACGGACCTGTGGCGAAACTTTGCATTGTAATGGTCACAATATAAATCCTAACTTACCTTTCTGCATACTATATCTGTTTGGGATTTCAGGTTCTAACGTAAAGATCATAAAATTGAAATTAACCTAACACATTTTTTCTATACATCTGATTTATCTATAATCACCTTTAACTGTTGTAACTGGCTAATTACAAATGTATTTTGTATTCTAAATTTGTATTTAAATTCTCTAGTTCCTTTTATTGTATGTTCTTGTTTGTTACTTCACTTCATTCTATTCTATTGTCAATACTATCAAAAATATATATTTTCTCCGTATACCTAGTCTTTATTTCTTTTACCTATATACAAATATAATAAAACTACAACATTAATGGCAATATAAAGCCTAAATTGGCCTGTGGCCTTACTGAAAAGTAAATATGGTGATGAGGATAATTAATAAAAAAATATAGAACATAATCGGATTTTATTAGTATTACAGATGTTCTTCTACTATATAATACTCAACAACAAAATGTGTATAACATATTTTGTGTTGTCCATAATGGTGGTTAGTTTAGTTTATGATTTTAACGTCATCATTATGTTACTAAGATGAGCATTGTAATAGCTGCCTGATATTGCTACCGGTACTGTCTTTTGTGTATGATTTTTCATTGTTCTGTACACTTCTGTGCTCGAATGTTTCCATTGTTGATCTTCCAATAATCTCATCAGGTACATTATGCAACAAACAAAATATTATTAATAAACTTAAAACTGTATTACATAGAGATGTTTTTGGGTGTCGATTAGATTGGTTTCCACGACACCCAAGAGGTACAATCACATCGCGTTTTTTTTTGAAGTGGTGTCCCAGTCTTTTCCCAGTTTCATAGGTATTATACAAGCGCTCTAAAATTTTAGAGAATGAAAAAGACTGGCATAGTCCACTGCATTAGAACTATAGAATAGAGTGGTAAACAATACTTATATTTTGTTACTTTTAACATTTCGATTTATTACGAATTTTTTTATATATTGTTCAATAACAAAGCAAGAAAAATATTTTATTGTACCTCTTAAAAATAAATTGAATTAAATAGTAGATAATAGTATACCACTCTATTAAAAAATAAAGACTAAATTATTATGTAATATTTTATACTTTACATTTATTTACAATGAGGCAATGAAGACATATCTACAATACAAACGAGAACATCGGCTATTTCTCCAAGAATAAAGTGGTAATTAAATTTTAAAAATATGTTTATAATATTTTTTTTTATACGATATACAACATTTGTTTTAATTATAAGAATATTAATATTTCGATAGTTTGTATGGTAATTAAATTAATTTCTAATATTTATATACAACTCTCTTCCATAGGAGTACGAATATGTCAATAAAGTGAATGAGTGAATTTGGAGTGGAGTGGTGGACGATTACGATAGTCGAAAATGATACTTGAAGACTAAACGCATTACATCTTGAGTGTTATTTTTTTTTTAATATAATTCTATGACATAAGAAGTTGAACTGCTCGAAACTTATCATTTTTGATGATCGCAATAGGGTTACTCTACGTAAGTGTATATAAATATATATATTATATAAAAACATTAAAAACTAATAAGCCGCCACCAAAATTATATAAGTATGCAGGTGCAGTGCAGTGGGTTCTAATTGTGGCCGTCAATGTGTTAAGCTTCAGTCAACAAATTTTTAATAACTACATTTCTTACATACGGCACACCGTTTACGATTCGCTCTTTTGTAATTAAAACTTTAATGTTCTCAGCATGCCGTACTCGACCTAAGGCGACATATAGCTGACCATGGCTGAACACATCGGACCGCAGATCTACTCCTACTCTATCTATGGTCTGTCCTTGACTTTTATGTACAGTCATCGCGTAACATACTTGCAATGGAAACTGTCGACGACACATTTCAATAGGACTTCCCGGTTCAATGGGTGCTTTGAAAGAAATCCTTGGTATCCTATAAGTCTCCGAATTATGAGGTTTCCGAATCGTCACCAGTCTTGGCGATACCTCTACAACGACTACTTTAGTACCGTTCACAAGTCGATCTACAAAGCTGAGGTTTCTTACTATCATGCAGACGCAACCCTTTTTTATTGGCAGATCGTAATCAGGCACTCCCTTAGCTTGTACTTTGTGTAGCATATCGGGACCCAGATGAAATTCGTCGGCGTGTTCCACATCTACGCTATCAACACCATAGCAATGAATCATATCGCCATCAATGCGTTCTAATATATGGGCGTTTATATCATTAACATTAGTGTTATGAGTGGATAATATTGCTCTACTCGCGCATTCATCTGGATCGCACAACACATCGCCAGGAAAGACAAAGTCAAGCAAATCGTCGAGTTCGGTAACCACGTTTAAATTCTGTAAACTGATTAGCGTTTGAATATTTCTCCCTGTGCCAAAAGTGTGTGATTCGCAGGCACCGGAGCCTAGGTTTAACAAAAAATCTGAATATCCCTCGTCGTTGCGCGTTCTTTGAGCTTCTGTCAAAGAAAATTGGGTCATTTCATTCCATAAAGAAGATGTTCGGAGGGACGCTTGAATAATATCATTGTGACATCTCGCACTCGGTACAACTGGAGGTATTTGCCTAAAGTCACCAGCGAAAATCATAATTTTTCCTCCGAACGCTTTTCTGCAGTCCATCAAATCTTGCAGCGACCGGTCCAGAATGTGTACAAGATACTTGTGCGACATCGGCGCTTCGTCATATATAATAATGGAGGATTCGCGGATTAGTTCAGCCCGCTGGGTACCATTGGTTAAACTCCAATGACTCGTGTCATCGATCACTTCTAATGGTAATCGGAACATACTGTGAGCTGTGCAACCGCCTTCATAATTCTGTGCAGCTATTCCCGAACTCGCAGTACAAATTGCAACAGCTTTCAGTATTCCCCGTACATACGCTACTATAACTTTTAGCAACAATGTTTTACCAGTGCCTGAAGGGCCGTCCAAAAATAAAGTACGAGGTGTCTCGTCACAAGAGTGGTCAGTTGCTAATAACTTTATAACGTGATCGAATACGCGTTTCTGTGCAAGCGATAATAATGGTACCCATCGAGTAACGAATTCGCGCAAACTGTCATTATTATATTCCACTCGCTCTCTATCTAATTCTGTTGTGTCGTCTCGAACAAGTGGCAGCCCTTGGTCCTGAAGACGACTTCCATGTTTGCGGAGGAGTCGGTCAATTTCCTTTAACGCTTGGTTATACGCGCGATCTTCTTGATCGTTTGGGTGGCGTTCCAAAATATCTTCACTTATGAGATGTTTGAATTTATCCCACAGAATCATTGCAGGGGCGCCATTGGTAATTAAAAGCACGAAAAAGTGTCTAAGCTTTTTTCCATTATAAAATGCTGCCGCCTCTTGAATACATTTCTCGTATTCTTCTTCATCGTTAGCAATACCGACTGCCCGAGCTGCCTCTTGGAACGTTTTACAATTTGGTCCACCTAAAGTTAGCAAGTCGGCATAACCACGGCACGGGAAAGAACTCAACAACATTCTTAAATAGAACTGCTCGCCCCTGTTCGGTGCCACCCAATATAATCTAGCAACCATCTCTTTGCGTTGTCTTTTCGTAACGAAATATTTTCCTCCGCAAATTGAAAATATCTGTACATTCTTTGTCTTCGGTCGAGAGGCATGCACTATGTAATTTTCATAGAAGTCCTGATACGTGAGGTTCTCGAATTCTATTTCAGATGGCCTATTGAAATATTTCAATAGATCAGAATTAGATCGCTCAACAGCTTCAGATTCTTGACCTCGTCTGAAAAATACAGTATGCTGTCCCTCTAGATGTACCGTCAACTGCTTTATGGTAGGTTCTCGTGCTGTGAGATCAAATTCGAAAGTTCTCCATGCGGCATCGCAAGCACCTATATATCGTTTGGTCACATATTGTTCTATTTCATTGTTGCGAAGTTCGTCTGGAACAATCGCTACGCGTGCTTCGTCTGGGCCTTTTGTCATATATTTAAAAAGATACTTGACGATTTTCCGCGTTGAAGATATTTCTAGATTTATGTGACAATCATATTTTAATAGCAATGCCGCATTATATGGTACTATCCATAGGTCGTTAACTGTTACACTACGATTTCGGTATGAGATATTGGCTGTGTTCGACGAATTCCTTTTTAATACTACAAAACCTCTTTCATCAGTGTAGGTGGTGTCGGTTTCTTTTTTGGGAAAATGTTTGATACATTTTTGCTTTTCCGCATCCCAACACGGCAAATTAGTACGATGATTAATGCCACATGGGCCATGAACCATATGTTTTAGTACCAGCGTGCGCAATCTTCCATCCGCTTCGTGTTCAGTGGGTATATCTGCACGTACCACTTTATCAATGTCGATATTCTGAACCGGTCCACCGCCGTCTACGCGAAAGCATATATGCGCGTGTGGCAAACCTCGTTTCTGAAACTCTATTACATATAAAATATATATTTGTTTACCGAACCAAGATCCGCTGCGTAAATCTCTCAATAATTGTGACAGTTTTAAATTAAATACGCGGGCACAAATAGAAGCTGAAGGCATAATACTGTTTGAGGAAGTGTTTTCTACTATTTCCTTCCATTTGGGATTACATGTAATCGTTAAAAAATATGAAGGTTTTCCCAATCTATTAACGATTGCAATCGCATCCATGTATTTACATTTCATGTAACGTGGACCACCCGTGAACGTATTTGGTAAGTATACACGACCTGGTACCACACCGCCTTCTCCTTGTACAGTTTCATCTGTAGCAATTTCTTCCAAAGGAGCGAGACGAAGTTCTCCTTGGGAATTATATTTCTGCAGATTAGCGACATAGCGAAGCCGTTCTTCTTCGACTCTACAGTACATGTCTACAAGCCATTCCTCTGATAGGCGACCCATTTGCGAAAATCGGGACTCCGACAGCAGAAGACATCTATAGTATTTTACTTGTGATAATTTGTGACCCTGATTATCCAGAGTATTTATTGTCCATCCAACACCTCCGTGTGGATAAAGTAATGGATATTGAAATACTTCATATAATGGATTAAATATGTCGACTGTGTGCGGTTTCTTTTCCCCAATTTTCCATATACACATACTTCTCGGTACATGTTGCTCTCTGTCGGTACTAATGATAGCTGCAATTTCTTCGCCGCGCGGCATATCGCCTAAAATATTACCGTGTGTGGCACGAGAAGTACGTTCGAACACAAGACGTGCCTCTGTGGAAGATTCATTAGAGAGACGTTTAAAGCAGTCAATAAACGGATTGACTGTGTTTAAAAAGTTCGTAATCTCTTGCAAAATCTTCTGATCGAGGTTACGGTTTTGTGCCAATCTTTTCCGCTCTTCGCCGTCATCGATATAAAGTCCGACAGGATTCGTGGATTCTGTGTATGACATATCAAAGACTCTATGGTACGTTCGCCCTTGAATTTTTATAAAACTCAGCCCAGTCGTTGGATGCTGATATCCATGAGAAACACCCAGAGCGCTAAAAGCAAATAGATTATTATACGCTCTAGCATATTTAATAAAATCTTGGCTACAATAAAATCCTTCTATGAGTGGAGGTAAATGTAGGATATTAAAACGGCCGTTTCCACAACACCATTGTACCCTACCCCTCTCTTCATTAAACAACTTGGCACCACATTTTGGACAAGATAAAACATCGACTGCACTTAAAGACGTTTTTTTTAACGAATATATAACTACGCAGTTTAATTCGTTACCTGATTTTTCCCCTATTAAACCAGTCCGTCTTAAAATAGGTTCGACAGTCCTTATGCGATTGTAGACGGCATCACGTTCGCTAATTTGCTCGCGATTACGTTCTCGATACCGCTGTACGGCATCTTGATTCACTTCTGGGTGTAATTCCGTATATCGAGTAACGGCTTTACGGTGTATATCTGGATGGTTAATGGAATATCGATGAACAGCTTTTTGATGGACTTCGCTATGTGTTACATTATACTTTGTAGATGCTGCCAAGTGCGAGTTATTGTTGAGTTTTTTTGGTCCATGTTTGAGATTTAAGGGTCGCCCAGATTTTTTGAAATGCTTTACATTATGTACTTGACTATTTTCTTCAAGAACAGTAATACAGGACATAGGTACCGGTGTATCTAACCTTTTATCATTATTTACCACAATCACCGATTGAGTAGATAATTCCTCACTATTTTGAACAAACGATGTCACGATGATATGGTGAATTGCATATTCACGCTGGTGACCATCTAATGTCGCATTGCGCAATAAAAGTTCGGACAAGGAACGAAGCCCATTAACTTGAAATAGTCTTGCGCGGTTTTCGTCACTGCGATGACTGTACATACGGTTTGAATCTACTGCGTGAGAATCAAACAAATAATAGATTCCATCCGTGCTAGTCATGTCTAACTGTTGACTATGAATATTACCGTTAGATTTCCAAAAGGACACCGTCGTATTTTGGCCGGTGAATTGAAAACCGCTGTTTGCGGAACTGTGTCTATGAAATAACATGCGAATTTTATTTTCTAATTCTATTATCTTATTGCTTAGTTGTGACTCGTAACACGGATATAATCCCTGATCTGTCCATTCTACACATAAGTCTACTTTATAATTGACCATGTTTAATGATGACGGCAATTCCTCCGGTTCTATAAGTCTAGGTTCTGTGCCACGAAGAACAACATTTAAATATATATAATTTCCAACGTTTAAAATAAAGTCAATATCGTTAGTAGTTAAAATAGTCTGGCCCTTAATATACGAATAAATTAAACCGCATGCCGACATCACTACACATTGCAAATTGTTACCACCCTGCAAAGTTCCTTGATGGGTGGTACCGGCAGCGACACACCTGACACTTGGCTCATCCGAATGCATGTCAACCCGAGCTACCTCCAAAAGGAGATTCGCTGACAACGTGGGTTCTTTACATACAGTAGGGACATTGATATCATTACTCTGTTCCATTGATTTAGAATTCTAGAACATAAAAAAAGAATTATAAGATTTTATTTATATTCCTTAGTTCAGGTTCTTATTTTGAAAATTTCTATTATCAAAGTATTACAATTTGCTCGCAAAAGATATAATTTCTATTAAAATCAATAACGATACTTTGTTATAAAAGAATGCTACACCATCAAGTTTTCAAAGGCTTGTTTAATTAGACTTTATTAAAAATTCAATTCCAAGTAATAATTTTAAAAATCTTCATAAACAAAGAATCTTAAGTTAATAAACATGATTAGGTTACTATTTTCTAAACACAAAATATTGCATTGTAATTACCTAAGTAATATTTAGACATACGCATTTACATTATAATTTATAAACCAACTTTATATTTATGACCAACTTAATACCTACCATAATATCAGATTCAATGGAGGATATCGACATGGATGTATTAGAAGATAGAACAATGACATCATTATTCCAAATTTTTGATTTTTTAATCGAATGGTCCAGTGTCATATTATCTAAATCGTCCTGAAAAACAATTTATATTATATTTCAAGAAATTAAATAAAAATATATATTAAATTATATATATATTTTATTTGTTTCTTTTATTCATTTATTTTTTCTAAATATTCTGTTTTCATCTGTATTTTTTTATGGTGCAATAATAAATTTAAAAAAATATTATTTTCAACACGGGATCACTTGATAATGTGGTAGCCGTGGTGCTGTTCATATAGTGGCATATATAGTCAATGATTATCACTTGCCATTACCTGGGCTAGTTTGCCATTTCAGATGCATTAAAAATGAACTTGTAGATCATATAAACACTTGAGAGAGTCTGAATTAGACTTTGATATCTTTAGGAGGTCAGAAAAAATATTTATTCCAGGGGTAATCACAAAAATAGAATAAATATGTTATAAAAAGATTTTAAATATAAAGTGCAATGGAAATAAATACCCAATCGTTTAAAAATAACTAATATTCGGTTATAGATCCAATGTCACTTACATTATTGGAGTGTTGACTTGTCATTGGTGAAGATGACTCTTCAGGTGACAATACCACGACACTGTGACTCCAAACTCTCGAATGTTGTTTTTCTGAGTTGTGAACGCTTATACTATTTATTACCTAAAATTGGAAGTATAATTATACCATACTAATATAATAACAGAAGTATTAGGGATATCGTTATTATAAAAAAAAAAACAGTTTAGTATACATGAATATCTTTCGCACAACATACTGTTAAACCAGAAAAACCTATTGTATATTACGAAATGCATTGATCCATATTGTTTATTATAATGCGACGTACGAGCGAACGAATTTAAAGTTATAACTTAATCATCCATTTTTACGTTTTGCCTGTAAACCTTAATAAAAAAACGTTTCAATATTTCACACAGGTTTCTCAATTTTTCCAACCTGTGACTACTTCATATAATTCATATAATATAATTACATTATACAATCACATCATAACAATAACTCTTTTAGTACCTAGTACCACCACAAAAAAATGGGATTCAATTGTTAGCAAGTTTATTGGGACTATCCTAATTATCGTAAACACAGGTGAAGACATACAAACCATCTGAACTGACTGATGAAATTTCTACGTCATTGGAATTCCAATAACAACAGGTACCAGGCAGTAAGTGGCAACAATCTTATTATATATATATATATATATATATATATATATATATGTATGTATGTACATAAACAGTACAACGAACATGTATTTCGCGTGATGCGCCTCATGTGTAGCCATACCAGAGGACTAAGTAGTTATACCTTCATACCCCATAATTTCACTACCATGTCAAGAAAAAAGTATACTACTCCTTTTTAAATTTTTTATTTTTTTTTATTTTTAAAGAAATTTTTATTTGCGGAATAAACTTAGTGGAGTGTCTATTGCATTCAATATAATAATAATAGGTAGATAGGTAGATATGGCGCAGTGCTGATATTAAGTATTACCAATGTTACCAAGGAAGACTTTCTAAAGAGAAGCTGTGCAAATTGTTTGGCAGTGAAACTACGAGATATAGGCATGAGATCTTAATCTTTCGGAATGCTAACGCTGATGTCGTCGTCGTTTGGTTAGTTCTTAGGCGTAGTGCTGTTCATGTACATGTATATAAGCGACTGTTACCACTAACCATCAGGTGGGTCAGGTCGGATTATTTGCTTTACCAATCACATAAAATATCGTTTCTCGAATACCATTGCAATATTTTACTTAAGAAAAAAATTCAGAGTCGGTCGAAACATATATAATATATACGTATATCCCAATCGTAATTCACGGGTCACGAGATCAGTGGATAATCTGGCCAATGAAAAACTCATAGAACATTTATTATTATTATTAGTCCGGTTGTACAATTTTCAGCAATATTTAAAAATCAATGTTTAATCACCGATAACACCGGCAAATGAAGTAATTCAAAACTTAAGATAAGGATGTCAATAAACAACGTCGTTTATGAAATATCGATGTTTAGTTGTCGATAATATCGACGACTCTTTAACATCTTGACGTTTCTCTAACATCGATAAAAGAAGGTCATTCGAAAGAAAGTTCGACACCTAATAAAAAAAAAAGATAACGTAAAATGACATGATTTTCAATAGTTCTAAAGGAGACATCAATGTTTCTCAGTCGACATTCGATTTCGCAACTCTATACTTATAGATTCACATGTCGACATCGATATTTTCTAATATCTATCATGTCTACAGAGTATAAAAAATAAATTATTATTTACCTGATGATTACTGAAGAATGAATCATTATTTTGATTAAAGCTGCATACAATCGACTGTTTGGAATCACAGCGCCGTTTCTTGTTTAAAACCTTGTTAAAAGAAATTAACACTTTATAAAAATTGTAGGGGTTTTTAATGCTATTCATTAATGATACAAACAATAAAAAATACATGTGTCATATTTATCAGTCATATCATATTTATTTAGAACCATATTGAAAATTATAATATAAAAATAAAATATAAGAATCATAATCTCGATTTTCGATTGCAGGAATTATACGTCGTAAACCCTATTGCCTAATTGTGAGTTTCTGTCAATTGTCATAATTGTCATTAAGGAGTTTATATGTATATCTGGTGTCATTGTTATTGGTCTGGATTTGAATACATTGGGTGAAGTTGCTCTTAATATATTTGCGTATTATATGATTTCTAAATTGGGTAATAATGAAATATATTGTGTAAAATATAGAATACACGAAAATAGACAAATTAATCATAATATGTAGTTATATACGGAGTACGGAGTATTTATTTAAGTGACGTAATGACCACATTCACCATGTCAGGTTTTACCAAAATAAACAAACAGTGTTTACTACATAATCAAATGTTTGTTAAATGATACTACAAGAGATACTATTAAAATACTGAATATGAAATAGCTAGCCGAATGGGACAGCAGAGATGTTGATTATGTTTTATGTGCAAAAGTGGCTAATTTTCCAAAATTGGAAAAACAATCTTTATACTCAGTTCTCAAGCATTTTTCAAGAGTATAAAAGGATGTGAAGGGGTGTATACAATACAGTGTCATTGGTTCAGAATTAGTTTGCAGAGTAAACAGGCAGATTATAAGGAGAGTTAATTATTGTGCTATACTTTTACACAGTTTAAACTTTTAGTCCTTATATAATATATTTATGAATCAACATGTAAAATTTCCCAATTAGACATCAACTTTATTAAGGCGGTAGTTTTATTTTCAATGCAAAATTAAAAAATTGTAGAAATATTTCCATATTAAAATACAGTAATACTTCCAAAATTATACCCTATTTTTTTTTTTGCATTTATAACCTACATATGTCCAGATTAATAATAGCAAATAGTAATGATGAAAATTTCAAAGTGACACAGTATGCAGTCTACACATCCTAATTTATTTATTAAACAATAGGTTAATAATTTGTGAGTACTTATTTTAATTTAAAAAGTATAACACTAAGAATTCCTATTTTTTTTTATTTTAGTATAATAAAAATAAGATATGATTATAAAATATTTAACAGTTAAAATATACACATAACACTTAAAAAATAGAACATTAAATACAGTAATATCATGCTTATCTAAAATAAACCTTACTAAACATTACCATAAAGAATTATGTAAATGGAATAGCAAACAAGGTGATGGCACATCTGATAGTAAATGGGAAATGTCACCTGTATACATGAACAACACCATAGACTAATACACCATTATTAAATACTATGCTCTCTCTAAACTCATTATTACTATTCCACAGAACTAAGAATTCATGCCTGTACCCTGTACTTTTTCAGCCATATTTCACCTTTCAATCTAAATATAATTTTCAAAGAAAATTACATGGCGGTTGAAATAATTGAGACAGAGGTACCACACACAGACTTTAACTTTAATAAACTTTGTACAAAGTCTATCTTGGAGCACTTGAATAAGTGTCATTATAGAAATACACATAACAAACAAGATATTTACCTTATTGTGAGTTGCATGTAGCAACTCATTACAAGTGTTGGCAACCCCTTCAGAGATCTTCTTGGGCTGTGGTTTACGGCCACGAAGTTCTTTCTTTGGACGACCAACATTTCGTTTCATTTCCATCTACAAGAATATTTTTTATTAGAGTTTATGATAGTTTGCTATATATGTAACCAATAGGTTAAGCTTCTGTCACTGTCTTGATGAATCGAAAAACATTGGATAGTCATAATATATCATATCATAGCAACACATTAATATCTGGCTGCAGGGATGGTGCTGCAGTGATATATCACTGCTCTAGGAAGCTTTTGGATTATTAAATATTTTGTTTTTTGCAAAGGTGTTAGTACTTCAATTCTTCTAACTGCCTGTTAGAATATTTAACATTTCATAAGATTGTCATTCCTCTACTCCATCATTGGAGTGGTCAACCACGTTATCAGTGTTTCATTCAACTCTCAATGTCTACGCGTTAAATAAAGATTTAAAATCAACATTTTTATAAAAAGTAACCACTTTAACTCTCAATAGTAAATAATGGAGCACAAAACTTTTTACTTAAAATACGTACCTTTGTAAAAATAGTAAAAAGTATTCCAATAAGTAAGTAGATAATTAAATCATATTATATAACTAAAATCATAAATAATTAATAAAAATAATCACTTACCCTTGTAATATTCTTCAACTTCAACAAGTTTTAACACTTTTAACCAAAATTCTGTGTCAGTTATTTGATCGCGTTAGCGCCAAATTGAAATTTTCTCCTTCGATTTCCCGCTCTTTTGTTTTTTTTTATAACAATGTATTTTAAAATTCGAATCCATTCTTCTTTTTGAAAATTATCAGAACTGTTAATATTTTTTTTTCTATTTTCATTTTAAAATAGTTATTGTCTTTTAAATTAATTAACAATTATTCTTTTAGACAAATATTTTAGAATTGTATTCTAAAAAATATTTTTTCAAACACAAATATTTATTTTAATTGAAATTAAAATGGATTTTCCATGAATGGATGCAACCTTTCTTAAAAATTATTGTTAATTTACATTTACAAGCTATATTATGTAAAATAAAAGAAATGTAACTAATAAAAAAAGATATAGGTAATTCCAATTCATCCATCAATAAATATGTCTATATTATATTAAAAAATAATAAATACTCAACGAATTTTTTAACGTTATGCCTGAACCGTAAAATTTATTTTTCATTTAATTTACAAATTAAGCAAACAAATTCTCTCATGAGACCTATAATTATTTTATAGTATGTACTGTTCTGTTATGAAGTGCTGTGGTCACGAAACAAATCTGTATTATGTAATATTATCTTATCTGTGGCTGTATCCATGTATTGGGCTTAAGGACAAGCATTAGACATCTGTAGAATTTATTACCTGTACCTACTCTCATTCTACCGTTGTTCCACTTAATTATTGTGGTGTATGAAATTATCTATTAGCTATTATATATTTTTCTAGTTTATACAGTAATTTTAATTTGAACTACATGAAGAACACACTCATGGTCGTTGATATTCTAATAAGAAACATTAATAATGTAAACATCGCCTTCATACATAGTGCTGTAGTTTTGTCATTATGTTCTTCATATTTACCTGTAATATACATCGAGACAGTCGAAAGAATAAATCTACCACATATGCTAAATAAAACTTTTTATTACCATAAAAAAAATACCTTAAAATGTATGTACTTAAATAATTTCTTTTGTTACTGTATGTGAATATATTAAAAATGAAATAATAATGTATAGAAATTAAACTGCCTAAAAACATGGTTAATAATATTAAAGTTTTTTATTTATACTTAATAATTACCCAACATTTAATTAAGGACGTAACTATCTACTTTCTTTATTTCACGCTGTTATTTATTTAGAGTTTCCATTCCTCAATAGAAGTCAATTCGCTGCAGGGATGATAGGTGCCACAAAACTGAATTTTAAAAAGTCTTTAATATTGTCATCATAGATAAAGTATCCTATTTCGGCCGCCATCTTGGATTTTTCTTTTTTAAATACTGTGCACTTTGGTGACAGACACTTTATCCATAAATTGTACAGAGCAGAGGTTACATACACCTAGTAGTACGGTTTACTATAAAAATCGATGTAAGGTGTTGCCAGGTGATTTTGACAAAAACCATCTAGGATCCTTTGGGGGATAATTTTGGACCAATGCTCATCACTATTTTGTTCAAATTAACGAAAAAAAAAATCCCACGTTTTTTTACTTTTCTTCGAAATTACCCCAAAATCGGGAAAATTTTTTGGACCAGGTAATATTTCCCACCGAGAATTTCCATTGCTCTATAGAAGTCAACTCGCTGCAAGGTTTAGTGGTACCCCAAAATTGAATTTTTAAAAGTCCCTAAAAATGTCAACATAAATTAAGTACCCTAACTCGGCCGCCATCTTAGATTTTTACTTTTACATACTTTTGACATATTCACCCTAGTGACAGAAACATTTCGTTCATACATTGTATAGAGCCTCGGTGACTCCTAGTACTATTCTCTAAGAAAACTGATGTAAGGTGTTGCCAGATAATTCTGACAAAATCCACCTAAAATCAATAGGGGGATTGTTTTTGACAGATTTTCATCATTCTTTTGTTTGAAATGTCCGAAAATTATTGTCCCACTTTTTAGGACTTATCTCAAAAATTACCCTAAAATTGGGGAAAATTTTTATACCAGGTAATACTTTGTGTTGAGACACATCATCTCTCCATAGAAGTCGACTGGCTGTGGGGTTGGCAAGTGTCCTAAAACTACATTTAAAAATATCGCAAATTTTCTCCGAAAAGCAAAACTCCCCTATCTCTGCCGCCATTTTGGATTTTTACTTCTTAATAGTTTTGACGTATTCACCTTAGTAACAGAAATATTTCGTCCATACATTATGTAGAGCCTCGGTGACTTCTTCTTGTACTATTCCCTTAGAAAACTGATCTGAGGTGTTGCCAGATAATTTTGACAAAAACCACCAAAAATCCTTAAGGGGATGACTTTTGACAGATTTTCATCATTCTTTTATTTGAAATGTTGAAAAAAAATTTTCCCACTTTTTAGGACCTGTCTCAAAAAATACCCCAAAATCGGGGAAAATTTTCATACCAGGTAATACTTTGTGTCAAGAGACATCATCTCTCCATAGAAGTCGACTCGCTGCGGGGTTGCCATGTGTCCTAAAACAACATTTAAAAATGTCCCAAATTTTCTCCGAAAAGCAAAACTCCCCTACCTCTGCCACCATCTTGGATTTCTAAAATTTCATAATTTTCCCTAGAGGCCGGGTCCTTCGGCTATCCGACGCCGCACAGTGCGTTAAGCTAGCACCCTCGTAGGTACCCTATCAATTTCAGTTTTTGAAGCTAGACCTCAATTTCTAAATTTGTCCCATGATGTATGGGTGTTGCCAGCAAATTCTGACAAAATTCCCCTAAAACCCTTCAGGGGACGATTTTTGGTAGACCAACAAGACTTTTTCATTTAAAATGTCGAAAAAAATTTTTCCCACTTTATGGGACTTTTCTCCAAATTTAACCCAAAATCGGGGAAAATTTTTAGCCCTGGCAAATCTTCTTACTGAGACTTACCCATGTCAGTAGGTGGCGTTTAGCTACGGGGTTGCCATGTGCAGCAAAAACGCGATTGAAAATATCCCAAAATTTTTCCAAAAACTAAATCTCCCATAGCTTGGCCGCCATCTTGGATTTCTGAAATTTCATAATTTTCCCTAGAGGCCGGGTCTTTCAGCCTCCCAATGGCCTACAATAGGGATCGGTAGTATCCCCGCAAGTACCCTAGGAATTTCAGTTTTTGGAGAGACACCCCAATTTCTATTTTGGTCAAACCATGTATGGGTGTTGCCAGCAAATTCCAACAAAACCCACCTAAAACCCTTTAGGGGATGTTTCTCGATAGGCCTTGATGCCTCTTTTGTCAAAAATGTCGAAAAAAAATTTTCCCACTTTTTGGACCATTTCTCCCAAATTACCCCAAATTCGGGAATTCTTTTTAGCGCTGGCAATACTTCTTACCGAGACCCATCATCGCCCCATAGAAGCCGACTCGCTGCGGGGTTGCCCTGTACCTAAAAAATGATTTTGGAAATAATCCGGATTTTTAGGACCAAATTCACACGCCCCCAACTCGTCGGCCATCTTGGATTTTCGAAATTTCATAATTTTCCCTAGAGGCCGGGTCCTTCGACTTTCCTATGCCCCACAACCGGTGTCGCCAGCACCCCCGCAACTACCCTGGGAATTTCGGTTTTTGAAACCCTCGAAAAATTACAATTTTCATTTTCATTTTCACGCCGCCATCTTGGATTTTATTTTTTTCTTTTAACCTAAAATACAACCGTTTGCGGCCCGCTACGAACTACCGCTTGAACGAAATCGATCCGATGGAAATTGACAAAGTTCAGTCGCCATCTTGGTCCGCCATCTTGGATTTTCCCAAATTTCGGAATTTTCTCGTGGTCACCCTGGCGAGAGGTACACTTCCCCCATACATCGTCACGACCCCCCGGCACTGCTTCTGGGAGAACAACTATGTCAATCAGTCAGTGACCGTAATGCAGCTTTATATATTATAGATAGATAAAAAATTGTCCATAATACAAAAAAATATTTTTTCGGGGTAGGCCACCCCTGTGACTTAGGGGTTTAAAAAATAGATAACAACCCTACCTCAGACCTGGCAAGTATACATATCAAATTTCATCAAAATGTGGGAGAAATATGGCAACTAACACTGTGATACAAAATTTATATATAAGATATAGCGGAATTCTCATTAGGTAAAAGAGGGGTACATCGTAGAATACATGAGGTATATACCAGTAAATTAATTGTAGCTAAAATCAGTCTCATACATTTAATGATTGAAATAAAAAATCGTATAGCCCGATTTTGATACGTACGAGTATAAAACGTATCAAAATCAGGCTATATGTATTGCGCAGACGCGTTACAACATATTAAAAAAATAGGCATGGAATGTAAAATAAACCATAACACAATAGGTATATACATTGGCACATAAGCCATATCTGCAGAGTGTCGGCTAACGATATTATA